TGGTTCCCGCCACCCTGCCTGCAGGGTCCCCTGCACATCAGCGGGCCTATGGGAATATAAACTGGTAAAGTCCTGAAATGCTGAGAGTTGCTATTTACTGAGCACCGACTTTGTGCCAGGCTCTGGGCTGAGCACTGATTTTTAGGACAGCTCAGACCCCTGCTTAGAATTTGAAAGACCCCAAAAGTTCTGAAATTCACCTCCCATCCTCGAAGAAGCATCCTAGAGGGGAGACGGACACAGGCTCTTTGGTGAACAGGGTACAATCCCTGTAGCAGCTGCTCTGAGACACTGCTCAGCCTGGGAAAGAACCTGCCATTGCTGGGCCACTATGATGCACAGGGCACCTCTGGGTGCTGGGCTCTGTCTCCCTAACCTGTCTCGCCAAGTCCATGAGGCAGGAACTACCCTACTCTGAGCTTCAGAAACTGAGCCCTGCCCAAGGGCACCCACCCACCGCCAAGGGGCAGATCCAGGACAAGAACACAGATCTTTGGACTTCAAGTCCACACCCCACTTCATATCCCAGCTGTCCTGGGAGACGGACACTGTTCCTTCTTCTCTCTGCACAGATGGACTCCCAGCAGCCACCGGGGCTCCTCCACATCCACCCAGAGCTACAACTCGGACTTTACTTGGCAGCTACCAAACGAACCTCTGGGGAAGCCTGAAACCCTGGACAGAAATAAACATTTAACAAAAGGAAGAAGCCAAATGCCTAGGAGCAGGGGGAGATGCAAGCCCAGCCTCCCTGGGACAGCACTGTGTACACTTCACCCCACTGGTCACAGCAGCCCTGCGAGGCTGGTCTGCGGTTATACCATTGTACAGATGAAAGAACTGAGGGGGGTTTGGGCAGTTAGATATGTTTCTCCAGCTCGGAGGTGGCAGAGCCAGGATCTGAGGCGGGCTTTGCTGTGTTCAGAGCCCACGCTCCTTGCTCAACTCACTCTGATGCTTCCTGCTTATTTACTCTACTGAGCAGTCACTGTCTCCCATGAGGTGACACCTTCGCTGAGTCTCTTCTGCCTCCGAGTTGCATAAGGACATGGGGAGGGGGTGCCTCTAGGGGCCCAGGATGGTTCCAGGAAGCTTGGAAGAGAGTGACAGGCAGCCCCCACCAGGCCAGGCTGCAGATGCCGGGCCCCAGGGAAGGAGGATTTTCCTAAAGAAAACAGCAGCCCCCGCAGGCGTCTACCCTGAGGCTCCAGGCCCGTGGGAATTGTGCAAATAGTCGCACAGTCAACTCTTCCTGAACTTTTTCCTTCTAATAGAGCTCCCTGGTGGTCCCAGTGCACATGCCGAGGCCGCGGGAACCTCATGCACCGTCCGCTTCCATCCACCCTCTGCTAGGTCCTCAGCGGGATTCCTGAGTCCGCCCCGAGCCTCAGCGCCCTCCAGGTTTGGGGGG